TCAACAATAATGAGACATCTCCTTAGCCATTCCTATAACTCCTAGAATCTGTTATATTAAAGACCAAAATTAATTAGAAGGTGAAGCATAAACGGACAAAACTTATTTAAGAGTCTACTTCAAGTTCAACATAAACATTATCCACATTGCAGCATCCTTATGACTTGTAATATAATATTCTAAAGTTTATTAAAATTCCAATTCACTTTGAAAGGCAAAAGTTCTACTGCAACCAGTTTTAGCAAAGAAAAAAACATAATATATGCATTTACTTACAAACATTCTAGAATATTTAGCCAGCCCATGAAAGTTTGTTTGCTCCTTATGCTACCTAAACAACAAATGTTCTGATGAGGAATTTCATCGAACACTTGGTGTTAGTCTTAAAGCCAAGGGAAATACGACTACATCATAGAGAGATCACCGTACTCTATGTCCATCGTCTCTCATAACCCCAACAGTACCATCCCTTCAAAAACTAAGACCAATTAGAGTTTAGGAATAAAGACGGCGATAGTATTTGATTACCTTTGGATGGCTGCTTTAATCGGACACAGTTGCCTTAGATAATAAATAGCAGATCTGCTTGATTCAATATTGTGAGCGGGATTGGCATGGGAAAGTGAAACGATGGCCATCGTCCCCATCTTCCGCCGAAAGACATTGAGACAGGCGAGGTGGCGAAGCTTAGTAGAATGACGACAAGAAGATCGATTGAAACCGAGTGTGATATCTTGATGTCATCTGTTGTATTGACTCAGAAATTGGAAACGGAGAGAGATGAATCAACAATGGAATACTCTTGAAATCGACTGACGAACACTATCGATTCAAAATTTGAAAGAAGATAATTCCTGATTTATTGGATTACATTGCTGATTTTATAATCAAAGGGAACTAAGAATAAATCGGAGAAGAAGGGCAGTTTAGGCATTTCAAGTAGAAAAAAAGAGCGGGAAAAGATGTTGGAGGGGGCGCAGAAATTAACACGTGGATAATAGGTACTCTTTTATTATTGGAGGATCGAGTCTTGAGTCATCCTTACTTTCCGAGGTCTTCTCAACAAATTGCACGTGAGACATATCCATATCCAAATTACTACTCCCTCCATTTCACCGATTGCAACCCACATTAATCTCACGCACCGATGGATTTCCACACAATGCATTTCCGTATAGAGCTCTACAACACCGCTGGCGACATTACTAACGACTTCATATCAGTAATTTTCTCCCTCATTTATCTGTGTTTTCTAGGGTTTTGGGTCTTCTCTTGCCACAAGAACCAGGCATATGTTCACCGAATTCATATATTGATGGGTGCGTTGATTGCTACAGTGACTCTTGACATGATATTTGGGCCCGCGGATTCACAGTGTGTGAAGCTGACAAGTACTGCTCATAGTTGTAGTGTGGTAGTTGTAATTTACATATTTAAGTTTATGAGGGTTGTGCTTTTCTATTCCGTGATCGTGTTGATGTGTGCCGGATGGTCTTTCTTGAGGCCAATTATACAAGTAAAAGAAATGATGATTTTGATGATTGTGATACTGCTTAATGTAGCTTCTATATTAATAAGGGAAACCAACCCTTTTCATATAGACAGAAGGACTTGGTGGGGTTGGTTTTTTGTGGTGGAAAACATCGGCTTGTGTACATTTGTCATTACCGCTATTGGCACGGGTAACTGGTTAGATAAAGTTTGTAAGGTCGATGATGGAGGGAAGGTTGCCAGGAGTTTTGCAAAGATTGCACAAGCTACATGGGTAGATGATGCTCCTAATTTGGCTTTAGTGTACTTTCATTTTTGGAGATATGCTGTCTTCTGTGTGAAGACCCTTCCAGATAGAAAGTACACGCATAAGCTGGCTAATATGACGGAGGAAATATTCTATCTTATGTTTTGTATGGTATTGTTTTACATGTTTAGGCCAGCTGTTGAACATCAATATTGTTTTCTAGACGTTCAAGATGAAGTAGAGGTAGTAGTGACTCAATGGGATTTAGGTCCGGCCCGAAACCGATGTAAACGGAGAAAAACAAACCGAGGTCATGCAATGATGTTGCACCATCCATCCCAAATAAATACCATGAGCCTTTGCGAATAAATGCTAGTATGTTACATTGACAGCCTACAAGCTTTAAGTAGTTTGAGTTTTATTAGTTTTTATTTGGTGTAGGTTCCATCATAAATTTATAACATTCAAGATTTGTCTTGAAAACATTATGACACATGATTGAAAATCTCATAAGCACTTGTGAATAATGCTACATTTTCATATTGATACTATTCATCAAAAAGAATATTGTACTAACCTATGTTATAAAAGACTGCGTTATGACAACAAAATATTTCTCAATCGTCATGTTATACTCCATCATGAGTTCACGAATTTATAAGGAAGGGTGTACACCATGGCTTCTCGTGGTGCTAAATTTTTAGGCATGTTTTTTTTTTTTTTTTTGGATTTTATCTTTTAGCGTTTTTAATCGTGGTTTTTATTTTAATTATTTTTTTAGGTTTTCTAGGGTTTTTTGTTTTTTTTTTATTTTTTTTTTTTTTCTTGTTTCTTTTTTGATTTAACTTTTTAGAAGTTATTAGAGTTTTTTTAAGGTTTCTAAAAGGAATTTTTAAAGATTTTTAGAGGCTTTTTCAAGGATAGTTTCTTATATTTCTTTCATTTCATACATCTAATCTAGTTGTCTAACATGTTCTTGTAATGTTCTATCAATTTTTTTAGAATATAACAAGTTTTGGTATCTGTATATATGTTGATTGTCGATCAGTGACTAAGTTTTAAAAAAATATACATATATCAAACTAATAAAATTTTGTTAACTTTTTGTTATTGCTTGTTGATGTAACATATTTATAAACTTGATGTATTTGATATAAATATACAATCACATGATTTTTTATGCATTAAAATTGTTGAGTATAACTTATACTATAACAAATAATAATAATAATAATAATAATAATAATAATAATAATAATAATAAATTTAAACAAAACTTAACGCTTTAAGTCACACCTTAAAAAACAACGTTGATAGTCGTTTAATTTATAACTCCTACACAAAAGTTCATATACACCAAATGTGCAAAAATGCTTACACCTAAGTCCGGTTAAGTAATATTTTAAGCTTAGGGCAAAAATAAGAAGAAGACCATCTTAAATTACCAATATATATAGTCAATTTCTCAAAATTCCATCCATTCCCTTTTGAATCATTTCTCTTTCATATTGAATATAAATAAAGATGATCTGGTAGTACAGGTGAGTATTTGTTGAACCTTGTAGCCATATTACATATTTTATTTACAACTGAAACTGTCAATTTTTTTTTTAAATTATCAAAAGTTATTTACAACTGAAATGTTAAAATCACAAGCATTAAAAATGCAAGATTCAAGCAACTATCAATCCATATCATATGCATCTTCTCTATCGAATGTAAACCTTAGTTCCGTAAGGAACCTTCAAAACACCCAAAGAAGAAAATGCCAAAAAGAAAAGATTAATGATCTAAAAAAAATATCATGGACAAGCAAGCTAATTGGTGCAAATGGCTAAGTGGGTGTTTTAGGAAAAAGTACATGGCAAACTTGAGCATACAATAGCATGATAGTTAGAGAGAAATTACAAGAAGATATTACTTCCAAGAAATGACCTTGATTTCCTTCTCTCCTTTTAGTGTCATACAATGCAATACTTGAAATTCATTAGAAACTTTGAACAAACACTCATACTAAAGTATAAAATGATAATTTGTTTCATATAACCAAAATACCAAAGTCAAACAAACCAAAAAGATAATCCTACAAACTTATTCATTTGGCTATGTTTGGCGCGCCACAGTTAGCTTATTTTTCGAGTTTTTTATGTTGTCGTGTTTTGTAAGCCAAAAAACAGCTTAAGAGCTAGTTTTTTTAAAAAGCTACTTGGACAAGTTTTTCAAAAAAAAAAAAAAAATTCAAAATATACCCTTAATTAATTATAAACATCATATTTTTCTAAATGATCTTTTATGTCATTTTATATATTTTAGCTAGCTTATAAGCTAATTCTTACAAAACGTCTTTTTTTTTATCAACTAGCTATTCAGCTAACAACTAGTTTTTTTAACTATCAGCTACCTTTTCAGCTAACAACTAGCTTTTCAAGTAGGACGTCAAACATAACCTTTATCTACACCAAAAAACTAATCCAAGATAGCTCTTTCATGATTTTATTGGTAAACTAGCTAAAAGGCTAAATAAAATGTGCAACTTAAAATAAACATCATCATAATATATACAAAAATTATTTGTGCTCTTCTCTTTAATTTACACATAAATGTGGCAAACCGGAAAAGAAAGTATATGATTATGGTGAACGAGCTAGACAAGTTGTTCCGAACTAGAAATAAATCAATTAAGTACAAAATCTATCTTACTACAATAATGATATAAGTTAAATAAAGTTATTTGATAGTTATATGGATAATCTTGTAAATTTGTTTATAATCAGTTAGAAGTTTTTTGTTAAACACTATTTGAAATAAATTTTGAATTATGAATTTTTTATTTAAATTAAAAGCTAAAAACTACTACTTACAAATAAAAAAAATAATAATAATAAACTCAAGCTTTTTCTTAAAAGCTAAAAACCCTCAAAAGCTCAATACCAAAGACACCCTTCTTCTCTAATAAAAGGTAAAGCTTATAGCTACTAGTTAGTTTTGTCAAACCCTCCGTAAGAATACATTTAAGGTGACTTTCCACTAGTTCCACCAATTTAGTTTCTAGTTAAACTTTTTAATTTTATAATCTGTCAAAAATTATACACAAACAAATATCAATTCATTCATAAATAGATAAACGGAAATAAACTCAGAAAATACTAGACAACCAACCACAATCCACCAACCAATTTAGCTTTTCTTCTTTCTCTTTTCACTTGCTTTTTCCTCCACAAGATTTATGTAAAGTAAATCTTTATCGTACTAAATTTTCCCATCACTAAACATAACAGTTGATAACATTTTTAAAATTCAAATCTAAGGCCTACAAATACACAAATATCAAGCATTCTCTATCATTCAACTGTCTTATCTTACACTGTTGGAGATACTCCTGAATCCAGAGAGTTGACGAACAAATTCGGCATGTAGTGCGTGTCCTCCCTGCATTGTGTATAAAGTCAGTGTAATTTCACAAAAGGATACAAGTTTTATGAGGTATTTTGGACGATGATGATAAGGGCATTCATGTCTTTTGCACTGACATAGATCAACAGGGAGTCCCTGTCCCACATTGTTCCATATTTGTTGATGCATTTTTTGTCTCATTGAGATCAGTCTTTCAGTTCCAGTCTAATGTAAGTCAAACACAGTACAACATGTCCTGACATACCTTATAAGCTATGATATTTGCAACAGGGAGGCCCTTGACTACCATTGCGAGCAAAAAGAGAAACATCCCCAATAAGATCTAAAATCTTGTGCTTGCATGGCTCCTCAGGTGAACGCAAACCTGGATTCATCAACCCTTTACTTCTACTAAGAAACAAAACATTGAACTTTATCAAGATCATTCACAAAACATACTTCAAAATCTTTAATGAGTCTTATGATATCTCACCTAAAAACAACAGCATTCTCTAAAGAACCACCCTTGATGAGTCCTGCACTCCGCATCTTCTCCACCTGCAAATGCAATATAATTCTTCTATTTAGGAAATGTTAATAAAGGCAACATGAACCCATTCAAATGTATAATACCTCTTCATAAATGCAGAAGGTTCTTGAAGGAGCTATTTGCTTAGAATAGAAGGAGTTATCGGTGGTGGAAAAGACTGAAGAAAACCATTGGAGGCTTAGATCTGGTACCTGAAATGATATATGAACCCTAAGTGGTGAATATATATAGTGATGTTAAATGTAAAGGATCAAGAGGTTTAGGTTTACCTGTGGAAAATTGATTCCATAACTGATACTAATTTGCTTAGAAGGGAATGCTGATATTACAGAATCTCCTTTTGATACATGAACAGGTTGAGTAAGATATGGTGCTAGTTTCTCACAATTTCTGCCATTGGAATCCATAGCAACTGTAACCCCAACTTGCTCGATAGCTTCCACCCATTCCCTCGCTGATCCATCGAAAATAGGAACCTGTAATTTCATATGAAACCTATCAATCTTGGCTGAAGATTTACGTCCAAAGTTGAAATCATGAACTAGTTATGTTTTCTGATCATACTTCGGCTGAAGGATCATTATCATCAGAGTTCACTATCTCGATTCGACAATTATCGACGCCTGTTCCCTCCAAAGCCGAAAGCAAGTGCTCGACAGTTCGAACAGTGTGCCCATCTTTACGAAGCGTAGTACAGAGCGGCGATTCTTCAGCAAAATCAATTGACGCGGGGATTAAATTGGAACTAAAATCGAAGTACCTCCCTTTTCCGGCGAGCTCAGGCCAAATCCTGACAGTCGATTGGTTTCCAGAATGAAGCGTTCTCCCTGTCTTTTCTATACAACCACCGATCGTCTGCTGCAACTTACCAGTCTGCATTCATCAAGTATTACAGGTATTATATATATGCTATAAATCATCAAACTTAGAGATAGAGATGGACAGGGAATGAAGCATACTGATCTCCATGAAATCAGAGCAGAGGATTTAAAAGCTTCGACGGCGGCGCCACGGAGTGTCATTTGAGTTTTGACGATGACCTCGAAGAGCAAATATTTTGCGTTTGGTTCATTTGAATTTAAAGTTGTGCACCAAACTTAATGTTTTTACGTTTTACCCTCAAAACTTCATTTATTCCCATTCCTATTACTATTTCTATAGTAGAAAATGTAAAATGCGCTAGTTGCTTACTTGCTTTGGAAACCATTTCTATAGTAGAACTCGCAACTTTTGGGATGTGTTTTGAATCATGTAAATTGTTATGGTACTGAGTATTGAACTTTTCTTTTGCACATGTTCATATGTTCTTCAGTTTTTTAGAAACGAAAAAAAAAAATAGAAGAGAAAAATTATTCTCAAGTTTTGTCAAGGAAGAAAAAGATGGAATTATAAGAAAAAACGTGTTTTCGAGTTTTTTTAACGAAGAAAAAAGAAATAATCGGTAGGGATAAATTTTCCTTTTGGCCTCCTCAAAACAAATTTTCGTTCAATTCCTTTTTTTTGCCCGAGAACACAAGTATTTTTTCCCTATCTTTCCATTCTCTTTAATCCCCTTATTTGTAAAACTCAAGAACAGCATGTTGATATAATAATACAGGTTGACAAACTTCATACCTGACCTCAAATCATTTATAGTTTTAAAATACTTATATGCTAATACTTTTTGTTTCAAAATTATATATTAGTATTATGTGATATTAAAAATAAGATATTTGTTTTTATTAATTATGTTGTGATTTCTATTAGCGTATAACGAATTTCAGATATTTCAAACTTTATATGGTGATAACTGAATTTGTGTAATTTTTATTAATATATATATATTAAAAATGTTCAAACTTAGCAACAGTAAACTTCAACCATTTTTGTCTATTTTCGTCCTTGTAGTTTCCGTTTTTGTGTTTTGTTTTGTTTTTTTTTTTTCCTTTGGGTCTCATACGGTATTTTTCTTGCTATGGGTTTCTTTTCTGGACAATTTATGTCATTTCTACTATTTTTGTTCACACGTGTTTTTCACCCATCTTTCTCACCGTATTCCCAACCGATCACAATTCGATTGGTGTAATTGTTTTATCCAACGACTTTATTTTTATTGTTCTGTTTCCATCTATCATTCCGTTCCTTCTCTTCCTCCTCCGTTTCCTCATGTTATTGCAGGTAAAATCTTTCGACTTTGTTCTGTTTTTTTTTTTAAAGTTCTTCAGATATTTTCTTCGCTCCCATCTCCGTCACTGTTTCTTACATATTAATTCTGGTATCTTTTGGTCACACCCACCGACTCACCTCCGGTTAGAAACCTCCTGTGTTTCACCTACATCAACATTGGTACACTGTGCGACTCCAACAATCGATTTCAACCACAAATAAAGCGGATGCCCACGTCCGACTTCTCCACCTGCGACGTGTTACATCGAAGTTCTTCTCCAACCTAACCACTCTACCGCCATCATCTATAATCGTAATAAGTGTATGAGACTAAAAATGATGCCACCGTGAAACCGATACTACACAAACAGGTATTGAAATCGATGCTTCCGGTACAGTATTTGAAATTGTACTCAGTTCGTTTCAATAAGCAAATACAAATGTCTTCTTCGAAATTGTAATTTGTGCGCTCTGCTTCACCAACCATTACTCCCGTCTGCTATTTTCGTTTCTAGGGTGGGAGGCAGGTGTCATGCCTACTATCACAAACGTTGACCGGCTTTAAGCATCTTCGAGAACAGGAACTACCGATTCTTCGATGAGACGGCGTCGCCGATAAGCGTTGTCTCCGGAATTGGCACGACCGGTGCAACGATTATCCTTGCCCTCGCCGTAACTTGTCGGCCTCGCACTAAATCATGTATTTTACCATTTCTCCTATATTCTAATTTCTTTGATTAAGGGATAATCTGTTCCGATTTTAGTCCATATAGAGCTAGCATTCCAATTCTATGAAGGAACTGCGTTTATCAACCTAAGATTTTACCTATGTAATTTCATGAATTTAAATTGAAACCGTTGAGCTCCCACTCCTTTGGAATCTATAATTTCTCCTTAATTTTATATTTCATTTGTATTCAATTTCATGAATCTGTTACGATTTCTTTAATTTTTTTCTTTTCGATTTGGATGAGGGATTTGATACAAAAAGCCCTATTAAAGAAGTGGATAGATAGAAGAAGCACTATTAAAGAAGTGGATAGATAAAAGAAGCCATGCCTCTCCTGATTTGCTCCAGCATACCCAGATTGCAATGTTGGCGTTTTAGTGTTTTTTTTTTGCTCCTGTGATCACTGATTCATCTTGCTTGCATTGTAGTGCACCGATTTCAGTGGCATCTTACCCATAATTGTAACTAACCTCTTCTTCTGTATGTGGAACAGAGCGGAAGTTAGGGTTTGATTTGAAATTTCGACATCTTCACCGGTCCTACAGTTTCTTTTGGTGTTTGCTTTGGGTTTCCACCTTCTCTGGTCTAACATCAGGACTGTAATGGCATGTGGGAAAGATTAGAATTCAAGTCCTATTTTAATATTTATAATAAAATGATTTGAGTTAAAGCTGATAAAAGATTTGATTTTGCAGCTTAGTTTATGAAGCAACGCTTACTGAAATATGCAACTAGCGTTTGACTATTCACTGAAATGGGTATTGATCCTTTAGTTGTATCATGGAACCGGTAAGTTTTCCTCCTTGTGGAGTCATTTATTGTTCAAATTGATCTTGCAAAGAGACCTAAAATTCCAAATTGATTATGCTCATGCTTTCACGAAATGATAATATATTTAAGAGCTACATGTCACAACTCAAAGTGATTAAACTCAGACCCCTTCATGATTCATATGCATGTATGTGTGTTTACAAAACAAAGCGATGATTGCTTTCCTTTTCTGCATTTTTTTGTAGGTATCGATAATTGTTCGAAATTTATTAAGGAGTGTTTATAAAATTCGATAAAAGTCATGTGTGTAATGTATGAACAAAGGAACAAATGGAGGCATGGAAACCAATTCTGGATGGTGTTCATGTCAAAGGATAGTATTTCAAAATTTTCTCAAATAAAAACTATTACAACAATATACTATGCAATTAAGAAGTATCACAATGTACATTCATTTTTTTTACCGTGTTTGTAAATGGAGGAATACCAGAGAATAGCAACATACTTTATTGTGGCTACCAATTCAGACAGTGTACTATAGTTTCTCATAAAATCGATACTTTCCAACCCCCGCAACGCGGGGGATCCCTTCTAGTTAGATATTAAACTTGTTAGACATTGGAATAAGTAGAAAATTTAAGCAATTTTTTGAATGAGATAACAACTAGGTTGTAGATAATATAAATTACAACTAATAAACTTTAACCTGTTAAAATTATAAACGGTGATACCCAATTCTCTTCTCATCGCTATCCCTACATATATATCGGTTTGGGTATGGTTATGTTTAGCCTAAAACTAAAACAAAACCAAACTAAAATAGTTTCAGCTTTTTGGGTTCTAACAAATCGAAATATAACTAAAGAATTTTTCAAGAACAACGACAACTTAAATCAAGAATTAGTGGAAGTGATGTCAACAACATAATAGTTATAGTTTAGACATCAACATGACAAAATACACTTGAAATTAATTAATGGCAATGCTACATATGTTTTGCATTATTTTGTTCATTTGTACCAAAAAGTAAACTCTACTAAATGTGAAAATTTGTTTGTTTACCAAAGCTTAGCTACATCCCCTCTCCTGTACATATCCATAAATACATAGTAGCCTGTGTGAATTTCAGATTCTTCTGATTTATTATTAAACTTGTTCGTTTCCCTTTAAGATATTGTATTTGCAAAGAGGACAGGTGGCATTCATCTTCAACCATTTCACTATGCATGATGCATGAAAATGATGGTTGCATTGTAGCGAATGAAGCTCTGTTCCATCTTCATATTGGCTTAAACATATGCAACACTCCTAAAAAGTATAAAACAAAACATTTCTTTCATATATCAACATCAAAATTACAACATTATATCTATTTGGAATTATGAGATTATTAATTAAACTTACAGCATCCTCGGGTAGAAGAACACGTTCAACAGCTAAATATCCAACATTTGATTCAACAGGAATCATTCTACCTGCTCCCACATGAATATCAGGTTCGTTTTCATCATTGGATACCTGAAATCTGTATTTTGGAAGGACACTTAAGTCTGTTTCTGATGCACCTTCCTGGATATTATTAAGCATATAATATGTTAAAAAACTTAATGAAACAAAATATAAATTGTAAAATCTTGAAAAGAGAGTCATATAATCACCTGGCCAGCAACTGCATACAGAATTGCAATGATGCAGGGCAAGCAACAACAGAGAGCAATTCCTATCAAACATGCTAAAACAACACAAAAGATAGCAAAGAACACATCGAATGCCAAAAACACCACACTCAACCTGCAATTATTCATATAAAACAGGAAACAATGAATTGTAATGCCCAAAGGTTTCATTGAGTCTTGAAACAGTTTTCTTAATGTTTTATAAACAAAAAGTTTGCCTTATGTTTTTCATAATTTCATTCAACATGGAGAATATGACATTGGTTCAAGAGTCAAGACATACCAGTATAAGCGTGGAGCATTATGCAGAAGAATCTCCCCACCAGAAACCATCCAGTAGAACCCAACTAGCCACCAGACAAATGATACCATGGTATTAAGATTCTCACATCTTTTAGTGTAACTGAAAATCCCAAAATGTTATGCATCAGTCAATGAATCAATCGTGTATACAGTATATATCAGGTAGAAATGAAACCACTTTCTATTGTGATTTTCCCGTTTCTAGATGATAAGGCAAATGCATTTGATCTAATTATACAAATGGTAACAAATCATTGAGCATATTGAAGCAAATGGTTAGAACCAGTGATGCTAAAGCTACAATGAAGTCTCCTATGGAAATGGAAAACAATAAGATTCATAATTTTAAGCTAAATGAATTCAAGTTCAACTGTATGAAACATTGAAACGGACCTGATTCTGTTAGAAGTCAAGAAAGCCCCAATCCTTCCATCATCATCCTCACTGTCGTTGAAACTCAAATCATTTCCCCCTGTCATTTCGTCTTCCTGTATTCTCCGACTTCTCCGACTATATTCCAACCACACAAGCACCGCATGCACCGCGCACTGCAACGCATATCCGCAGATCCAAACCCTAATTGGAACGTTCGGTTTCTCCTCTACCGTGCAAATCAATAAAACCACCGAAACCGCTACGAAGGCGAGGTTCCATGTCATGTCTAGGGCGACAACTGGTTTTGAGTAGCCCCAGTCGGCTCGCCGCTCCTCCAGTTGTCGCGCTGCAGTCTCGCGCACCAGCATAGACGCTCCACGCCGTCCCGAAGCACGGCCGAGGAGAAGGGCGAGTGTAGTCGGCCTTCCTCCTTCTCCTGATTGGGATTCGCCGGTGTCCTGTCGTGGTCTGAGTAACGGCGCGGTCGTCTCCGTTGACATCTCCGCCATATTGAAACTTCCACAGGTGGATGGGAGGAGTGTGACGAGTTGTTCTTGATACTTGATAGGCTAACAAAACACGGTCGTCTCCTTTTTCATTATTACTATTTTCTTTATGGCAAATGCAACACGTAGCGATATACTTTTTTTAACTTTTTATTCCTTTTTTATATTATAATACTTTATTTTTCAATTATTTTTTGATGACTTGACTTTATACATTAATGAATTATCACTTTTCACATAATTTCAATATTTTTTTTTTGGAAAGGTAACTTCCCTAACGAGGGTTTCCGGGCCAGCTTTCGCGCACCGACTAATCCCCCGCCGCAAACATGAGGTTTTGCCTCATGCCCTGAAGTCACTGCAGGCGAACCTCCATGGTCACAAGGGCTGAGTAGTGTCAGGATTTTGTATTGTTGTTTAATAATGTTAATTTGATTTGCAGGTCTAACAAACATTATTAAACTTATATTTAATGCTCGAGAAACACCATTAAAATCATATTTTTATATATGATTTACATTAAACTAAATTTTAGATATTTTTTGTAATTTTCATCATTTCCGACAATAATTAAGGGTGCGTTTGGTTGTGGAAAATTTTCCAGTTTTCTAGGAAAATTTTCCAAGAAAAACGGAAATTTTGAAAACGCGTTTGGTTCGTTCAATTTTCCAAAGTTTCTAAGAAAATGAAATTTTCAGTTTTCAAAATTGTATGTAAACTAGAAAAGTGATTTTTACAGTTTTCCAAAGTTTTCCAAATTTCTAAGATGGAAAATGAAAACTCCATCGGTTCCAACCAAACGCATTTTCATTGAAAACTAAAAATGAAAACTCAACTCTATTTTCTGAAAACATTTTCTTAGAAAATGAAAATAGTTTTCCACAACCAAACACACCCTAATTTTCCGGTTCTTTTCCTTGTACAAAACAATTCAAAAAAAAAAAAAAAAAAAACACCATTTCACATGTTAGATTTTTTAAATAAATTGCAAAACATATAGTTTTCTTTTTTTCCTTTCCGACTCTCCCCCCCTCCATTTGCTATTGTCTACATTTATCATGTTGTCGTTCATACATCTCTCTCTCTCTCTCTCTCTCTCTCTCTCTCTCTCTCTCTCTCTCTCTCTCTCTGTGTGGAAGTTTGAATTGACACGAAAGTCCTTAGGTTTGTCAAGTTTTTTCTGTTTTGTCCATGTGACGATTTCTTATTTATTTATGTCCTTATGTTTTTTTTTTAGGTTTGTCAAGTTTTTTCTGTTTTGTCCATGTGACGATTTCTTGTTCATTTATGTCCTTATGTTTTTTTTTAACATACAATAATAGATTTCCATGTTATCGTGAAATTTAATTTGCAAAAAACTTTAAGTTTACAAATATTTTATGTTTTTTTTTGTCATAGTATACGTATTCATGCAAAAAAATGTTTATACATAAAAAAGAGTTTAACTAAACAACATATAAATATGTTTTTTTAGAATTATAAATACGTAATTTCACCTTTTTAGAAGTATAAATACTACTATTATTATTACTAACATGTATTTTTACATTTTTTATGTTTTTAGAATTATAGATACATTTTTAGAAGTATAAACACATGTTTTATGTTTTTTTAGAAGTAAGGTTTCTTTTTGCAAATTAGATTTCATGGTAACCTAAAATGGCTATTACATGTAAAAGAAAAAAAAAAGGCCAAAAACATAACAAAGCAAGAAATCATCATAGGGGCAAAACTTGACAAACTTAAGAACTTTCATGTCAAAAGTCATTTTTTTTCCAATAGGACATCGTTGTTTGTTTTTTTGCGGTTTTAGTCCCAAATCGATATAAAATGATTAATTTGTCCTTACTAATTTTCTTTAACTATTTTATTATTATTATTTTATTAAATACAAATATTAATAAAATAAATGGGTTCCACCACTCCACACCCACCCACTTATCTCTCGCATCAACTGTTCAAACCCCTCCTTCTCGTCCCTCCTTTTCTTGTCGATCACCACTAGACCAGTCGCCTCTCTCGATCTCTTCTCTTTCCCTATCGTACTTGACTGTTGTGTGTCTATGGCTTCTCAAATTCGAAGCTAACTATTAGGATTTTTGTTCGCCTCCTTCAGAATGGGTATGTTTATGGTTTGCATTTTTATGACTTCCATTAATTGATTTTGGGTTTGTGATTGATTTGTGAAGATGAACAAATAATTTTTTTTTTCATAGGTTTGGGGAGCTTTAAGGTGTTAGGACTTGTATTTCAATGCCTTATGTCCATCTAATAAGAGAAACCCATTACAATTGGTTTTTTTGTAAGGTTTGGGCTTAAATGGGTGAAATCGTTGTTACATCACTAAATTCCACAAACTTGTCTCCAAAAATACACACGCCCACTCTACAAATCCATGTTCTTCATTACACTTATAACTCTCCAAGCAATACTCTTATCTAAAATCGACCAATTACAGCAAAAAAACACACGTTCAAGCCTCTCACTTAACTCATCACTATCAACTCTATGAGGACAGTCATCATTCTTACATACCCGAACACGAAAAGAGTTCACCTCAAGACTTCCTTCACAATCCCTCAATCCCAATTCCCCAAATTCATCTGAAAGTTTCGTATTCAAAACACAGAGCAACGAGTCATCACCATTAGAAACCCTAACCTCTTTGCTAATATTCTTCAACCTACATAAATTTAACCCAAAACAATACCCAAATTCCACTTCCGTTTTTCCACCTCCAACCATTGTTACAAGCTCATCTTGATGTATAACCTTGACTTTTTGACCTTTCCCCATTGTCAAAATCCCTTCACTCACTCTCTCATCACGAACATGCAGTGAGGGCGTATCCGTAATTTCATCTTTTGGGAACTTGAAGTTGGGCGTCAAAGAACTACGGATAAATGCATTTGAAGCATCTGATTTTATAAAATGGGTTGAAGGGAAAGATACAGTTTCCGTATTTGCTGGATCATAACATTCTATTCCTAATTCTGATTTGATTCTTGATTTAAGCAAATCCATTTTAGGTTTCTCACCATGTACAAGTATTACGTGTTTTGGGGACAGAAATTTCACAAGATCCATAATTCCTTTTGCATCCGTATGTGGGCTAAAAGACAATTGATGAATCTGTAAAAGAAACAACTTTATACATATTAATAAAATATATAAAAAAAAAACATATTAATTATATAATAAAACGGATAGAAAGATACCTGGCAACGAACATCAATCCGTGTATCTTTATCCAAATCAACTGTTGTAGGCTTACCAGACATCAATTTGTGTCCTACAGTTCCAGCAACACAATACCTATGGAGAAAAATGAAAAAGATAAATGGTAAAAATAAGAAAAAAGATAAATAATAGTAATAATAATAATAATAATACCCTGGAAGTGTAATGAGATTTGATTCAGATGGAGCCCAATGTTTAAAAACTTCAAGTGAAAAACCACCACTAATCATTCCTGGTGTGGCAAAAAGAACACAAGGTCCAGGAGCATCAAGTAAAGTCCGGTCAAACTGGTGAACTGCAGCAAGTGAAGATAAAAATAAATAAATAATAATAAAAGGAAAGAATGAATTATAGAGAAAAGGGTATCAGAAAATGATTTTTGTGAGATACCATTTTTAAAATCGAATGCGTTTCTAGTAGCATATGTATCTTTCACCTTCTGGCTAGTCCAATTAATTAGCACTTTGTAATACAAATTAGCTTGGATTGTTAAACCTGAAAGAAACAAATAATAACTTTTTATCTAAAAAAAACACATTTAGTTTATAGGTAATAAAAGAAAAAGAGTAAAAGATGAGAACCTGCTGAAAAGTAGATAGGAACCTTAAGATTCATCCGCTCCCAGTAATCATCCAACAATATACAGAGTTCCTATTGAATAATTCATAAACTTGTTATAAACATAAGGTATATTTTTTTATAATAAATTAATAATAATAAAAATAGGACAAATAAAAACCTGAGCTCGTCCAAGAGCAAATGTAGGAATCAACACCTTTCCTCCATTAGCAACACATTTATGAACCTGCAATCACATTTCATCACTTGCATGTAATAAATATTCGTTAATAATTTTTAAAAGAAAAAAATGGGAATTAATGAAGCGTACATACAGCCTTAAGAAATTCTCTCTCTCGAGCATATTTTGAGTCACGAATAGTTGTTGCATATGTCGACCTGTAAAAAGTCAATTGTTATTTAAGATTCTATAATCTGATACATACAAAATTTTCAGTATTTAAACAATAAGAGTGCAAGTCATCAATTTAGATAATTAAAAATAATTTTATTGCAGAAATTACCAAGGTTTCAAAGCAAGTCAAAGCGACACTTCTGGTTGTCGACTTCTCGTTGCTGTAAACTTGGTTGTTACCTCTATGGTGACTATCCCAGGCTCATTTTCGACGGTGAAGGATGACAACATTCCATTGGTCAAGTATATGTGGCTACGCCTCGTCAATTTCACGTTTTTATTGTTCTCATTACTTAATCTTTGTTCTTATGTGTCACAAATGGTACACTCCATACCATAAAGGAGAGATACCATAAAGGAGAGTATTACTTTACTGAAAGGTGTTGGTGGTCGTTACTAAGATAATGACATGGGTAGCGGAGTGGGTTGTGGGTATAGTCTTTTTGCAGTTGATTGAGCTTGCTATAGAAAACCAGCCAGCTTGTAGACTGTTTGAGTTATTGCGTATGGGAACCTTGTCGACGGGACTTTAGCAGTAGTCTCTCTGTGGATATTTTACTTGAGAATTAGGAGTAGGCGAAAATGAGACGGTTCTGGAAACATCACGTAAAAATATGACGACTTTTTTTTATTTTTAAACTTCTTTTCAGCAAAAAATAAAATCAGGTTTGGATATTGATACTTGTGATACTATTTGTTTTGGTCGTTAACTACATGTTGAGAATTTAGGAATTTGATAATATGTGTTTTGGTCTTTTTAACTATAGTTAACGATCAATACACAGAGTATCACGAGTATCAATATCCAAACCTGACTTTATTTTTATGAAAAGAAATTTAAAACTAAAGAAGCTGTCGCATTTTTACTTGTAAAATTTTTAGAAACTACCTCATTTCCGCCTCCTACTAACTTCCCCGATAACATATCTACCGAGAGACAATTGCTAAGGTCACGCCGTAAAAGTTTATGCAATAACTCGAACAGTCTGCATCAAACCTGATTGGTTTCATATAGCAAGCTCAATCAACTGCATAAAGACTATACCCGCAGCCTATGCTGCCACCCATGTCATGATCTTACTGATGACCACCACCACCTTCCAAGAATCGCCAATAGTAATACTCCCCGCTATGGTGTGGAGTGTACCAACTCTAAGGCATAGGAACAAGGATGAAGTAAGAAGAACAATAACAGCTTGAAATTCACGACCTAGCCACGTTAGCATGCCTAATGGAATGTTTATCATCGTTCACAGCCGAAAATGAGCCTGGGAGAATTATCACAATTATCACAGAGGTAACAGCCAAAGTTACAACAATAACAACCAAGGTAAATATGACTTTAACTTGCTTTGAAACCATGGTAAGTGGTAACTTCTGCAATAATTTTTTTTCCATTAGCTAAATTGAAGACATGCACTCTCATTTTACTCATGGAAATGTATGTTACTCAGTTATAAGAAGGTCTAATTGCAATCGATCAATTTGAGCAGCTCCAAGATGCCTATCAGGTGTCATGTTATAATCTCCTGTATATACCATAGCACTGTCCCCCACACAAGCATAAAACATTGCAGCTCCAAGAACCTTAGAAACAAAGTACAATTTAAAAAACAAGTTATGAGATTTTTGAAGTATTCAGTTCTAGAAACATACATGTCCAGCATAGTAAGCACGAATTTGAAGGTCTGTATCAACTTGCACATTTTGCTTAAGATCCACTGCAGTAACTGAAGGAAAAGTAGAAAAGGAATGAGTTTGAACTTTGATCAAAGCACTATTATGGCAGTTGTGAATTGTATTTCATACCTTTTTTCATACAATCAATGATGTTTTCATGAGTGAACTGTTGTTCTTCTCCCCTTCCAACCATTACTTTCCTGTAATCTTCTAACATAAGTGGAGCCAAGGCTTTGGTAGGATACTGTAAAGAATAAGTTAATTGCAGTTGAATTCTCAGATATGAAATCACCATTAAAGACAAGTTGATGGATATACCGTCATGTAAATTGGTCCATTATAACCACAAACTTCAGTGAAATATGGAAGAGCCCCAATATGATCCAAGTGACTGCAAAATGGAGCCCATACTAATATCAGTTTTAAAATTTTCTTTCTTATTTTTATAAACTTTGGAGATATCAGGGTATTACAAACTTACAAGTGAGTAATAATGATGCAAGAGAGGGCGTTATTGAAATCTCCAGATTTTGAAATCAGAGAGAAATCAGGGTAACGGTTGTGATCAGTGTAACCCATGTGCATCCCACAATCGAACATGATCCTTTTTCCATTTATAGATACAACCACGCAGCTCTTTCCTACCTCTTGTCCTGCGCCTGATTGTTTTATATTCTAATCAGATAACTAAGAAACAATTCCGATATGGACTAAGAAAATCAAAGATACCGAAGAAAACAGTACCTAGAACAAGACAATCAATCGCCATGAACTTTCTTCTGTAATGACTTCAAAACGAAAACCTAAAATGGAGAGTTCAAGTATCTAATTCTGTGAGCAAAAATGGTGTAATTGCTAGTGGCAGCTCGAAGAGGCAAGTAGTGGCATTCAACTGAAGCATTTCGTTAAATGCCAAGTATAACACACACTCATCAATTATTTCTTTCCAATATACAAACTACTAGAATGATATGAATTAGAAGTCAAATCGCAGCATAGAAAGAAAGAAGAAAAAAAAATTGCATACTTCAATCAAATTGGAACAAACAAATTCATAAACAATCAAATGTTTAATAACCAAACATGATGGAACAATCGAATTGTGTTGACCAAGCAACAGGAAGAAGATTTCTTTGAAGTTTTTCTTGGCCAAAAAAAAAACACAGTTTTCGTCTGCATCACTTCAGTTTCGTGAACATTTTTTTTTTGCTTACCTGAGGAAGACGACAGCCAGGCGGAGGCAGTGGCGTCGGCGGAGGAAGGAAACGGTGAAGGGAGCGACGGCTGGAGGAGGGTGTTCCTTCGATGGAGGCGTGCGTGTGTGTGCGCGTGCGTTGTGTGTGATTTCCAGTATCGCTATGGTATTAGAGCAAAGGGCAAAGGGCAAAGACGGGAAATAACATTCCAAGGACCCACCTAAATTTTCATTCAGGACCGGGTAAGACTTTAAAGACCTAGTCAGCTATTTTTCTACCCAAATTAAACGCATTGATCGGATCGAATGAGATGTTTTCGTCGGACCGATCACACAGAATCAAACGGGCCCTTCTCCCACTCGAGATCGTTCAAGTTCGGCTCGGTTAAAGTCGAGTAGATATCAAATATTTTTCAAGTCGGTCTTGAGTCCTTGTAAGTTGGCTTGGTCCCGAACAAGTCTCGAAACGATATGGTCTTTTTGGAACGGTTTTGAAACATTTCAGTTTTTTTTTCGGGCCGGTTCCAGACAGTATTAGGACGGTACTTTTTTGAAATGGTCTTTTTCGGTCCAGTTTCGCGGTTTTTGTGTCGGCTTTTTCGGTACAAGGTTTTATCGGTTCAGTTTCGGTCTCGTTTTAGACCGGTTTGGTCACGGTATTTTTCCAGGATCAATCCAAGACCAGGCTTTTTGTTCATGTCTGGATAAAGATAAAGCACAGTGGACCTAGACGTGACCAAAAAAACCGGTTCACAAACCGAACCGGTCAGTGAACCGGAAACCGGTTTACCCCCGAACCGGTTCAGCCCTGAACCGAACCGCACTTGAACCGAACCGCCAGACCAATACCGATTCGCTGTAGTTACCGTTGAGACCGGTTTCGAACCGGTTTAGTATGAACCCGTTTTTTGATCCGGTTTTGAACCGGTTTTGCATATGCCCGTTTTTTTGTCTTATTCTAACGGCTATATAGCCGTTTATGGCTGTTAGACACCCGATTTTTGGTCCCTTTTGGCCATATTCCCCAATATTTGATAGTATAAATAGCTATTAGATGTTTTGGGTTAACCAAACCTCAAAAAACCTCTCTTACTTCAAAAAACGCTCTTAATTCAAACAATGGATTCGGCTTCCGTTGGTATTGGAGATTCATCAAACACTCTTACCGTTGTTAGCATCAAAGAAACAAATAGAAATCCGACTATTTGGTGCAACTATGATTTGTGTGTAATGTCGAATGGTCTAAAAAAGGCGCGATGCAAGAAATGTGGTGCTTTTTTTAATGAAGAAGGGAATTCGACATTGAAAACTCATATGACCAAAAGATGCCTCGCGGTGAAATTTGGGTCGGGTCATAATCAAACAACAATGGCGAATGATGCAACATTGTGGAGTTACGATTTGGCTAAAGTTCGGGATAGGATGGCGAAGTTCGTGATTCAAGAATGCTTGCCTTTTGACCACTTCGACAACAAACGTTTGACTTCACTCATCCAAGATACTCTCCAACCACGATATTGCCATGTGAGTCGTACTTCTATTAGACGTGATTGTATTGAAATGTGGAAACTTGCAAAAAATGAATTGATTTTAGGATTTCAATCTTTAGAAACCGGTGTGAATTTAACTTGTGATGTTTGGACGGCTCCTCACGGCTCACCGGATGCATACCTTTGTGTTACCGCTCATTGGATTAATCCAACTAATTGGGTAATGATGAAGCGTACGATTACGTTTGAATTGTTTGAGTACCCGCACACCGGTAGAAATTTATTTAAAATTTTAGATTGTGTGATCAAAACTTATAAACTTGAAGGAAAGATTTTTTCTATATCTTTTGATAATGCTTCAAACAACACCGTCGCGGTTGGACAACTAAAACTAAAATATAAACCAATTTGCGATGGTGGTTTTTTTCATAGTCGATGTGTTGCACATATCATTAATTTGGTTGTGCAAGATGGACTAACTAGCATTGAAACTATAAAAGATGGTTTCAAAGACATGCTAAAAGATATTTTTAGTTCAAGTGACGCTCGATATCATAATTATATGCAATTTTGTGTCGATGCGAATGCCCTCTTTTTAGGTCCGAATTGGGAAAATAATACCCGATGGAACTCCACTTGCAAAATGTTTGAATGTGCCTTACGTCAAAAAGATACTTTAAAAATGTTCCATGACAACCTTGCGGACCGTAACAAGGTTACGGCTTATCCGGAATCAAGTTGGGATACTATCAAACTTGTTACGGACATGCTTGATGTTTTTAAAAAAGCAACTACTTATTTATCGGGGGTTTATTACCCTACAAGTTGTTTAGTTTTAAACCAAATTTTTTTTAATGAGTGCGAAAATAAATGAGTTTGAAATGAGGAGCGCAATGTTTGCTAATATGATGAAACCGATGAAAGCAAAGTTAAAAAAATATTTTCAAGAAATGCCTCCCATTATTACTTGTTCCGCCGCTTTGAATCCGGCTCTAAATGTTGGGGGGGTTGAGACTTTAATTGAAAAGATTTGTTACGATTTGGGTTTATTGGATGATGACATTGATTATGCATCAAAGGAAGTTTCAAAATTTAACAAAGTTTTTCAAAATTTGTTTGAAGTTTATTTAACAAAATATGGTACAACAAACATTCATGACATGATGCAAAATACGGGGGCATCCGGATCCACTTCTCACCAAAATAACGAAACAATTAGGCTTTATAATACTTTGAGGAATGAAAATTCCAAACGAGCTCGGTCTAACACCCCTAGTAGCGAGCTCGGAAGGTACATTGGTTCCGATTTCTTGTCTCAAATGAGTATTCAAGAGTTTGAAAATTTTGATATTTTGGCTTGGTGGAAAGGAAAGGAAACCCAATTTCCGATTCTAGCCGCTATGGCCCGTGATCTACTAAGCTCCCAAGCTTCTACGGTAGCTTCGGAATCGGCTTTTTCTGTTAGTGGCAGGGTTATATCACCAAGAAGAACAAAACTCACCCCTTTGTCGGTGGAAGTGTGCATTTGCTTGAAATGCTACCTTGATGGTGTGGAACGGATACAAGATGTTGAAGCACTAGAAGGCACATCGTTGCATGCCGAAGCACGAGTACATGAGGAAGAAGTAGCAATGGGAATGTCGGTGCCACTCACCCTAGAAGAGCTCGAGTATGAGAGAGGATTGCGCAACGACATGACGGATGACGAATAAATACAATGACTACGGACTTGGAATGAAGACTACGACGACAACAATGTTCCCTTTCTGAAGATGTATTAGTATGACGACAACAATGTTTTATATTTGGATGTTTTGTGTTTTTATGTTTGAAGTTGTATTATGTATTTCTAATATAAAAAAAACGAAAAAAAAAATGAAAAAAAAAGGTTGAAAATTGCTCCAAAAAATGTGTTGATTCAAGTTGAACAATTTTTTACATACATTATGTTTTTCTACATATACACAAACATAAAATTTAAAACCAAAAAAAAAGTTAATACATGAAAAGATATGTATATTATTGATCAAGAAAAAAAAAAAAAACATTTTGGCAATATGGTCCATATGGACGTGTATGTGTATGTATATATGTAAGGCTTATAAGTCTTTGCCTTCCCAATCCCCCAAACCACCTACTGTGAAGCCAAATTTTTTTTTGGTTCAAGACAATCTAGTGCTTTATACTCTAAACAAAAAAAAATCATTCCTATTTTACACTTATTAGCCCAAAAACAAAAAAAAAATAAAAAAGCTTATTTGCGTCGAACCGGTTTTGAACCGTTTTTGGACCGGTTTTTGAACCTGTTTTTGAACCGGTTTTTTGAACCGGTTTTCTGAACCGGTTTTTGCTGAACCGGTTTCTATTAAACCGAACCGGTTTACATATGTTCGGATATTTTTGGGGCAGAACCGGTTTGGGGGTGAACCGGTTTTGACTACGTTGACCGAAACCGAACCGGTTTTCTGAACCGGTCCGGTTCAGAAAAAAAACCGGTTTTTGCATGCCTAAGTGGACCTACCCAATAATACGCATATGTTGTGGATTTGTGCTTATTGTGGAAGGTTGGCCCAATGTTCCATTTGGGTTTTGGTTATCCAAATTCAAAATTACAAAAATGTTTCTAAATGAAAAATGCCCTTTGGTTCACAACATAATTCACAATTTGCTAATGTTAACATGAATATTACATAAAAAAATTTGTTGTTACGAACAATTCGTTTTATTCCATTTGTTGGATTTCATTGGAATTACGATTCAAACTCATAATCTCCAGAAGATGTATTGGGATCACTTTGACAAATCGAGCATAACCATCACCAATTAAACAATTCCCAATCTAGTGATCAATGATTTGGATCCTTAATCAAGGATTTAAACTCATGTACAAGTTTGCTTATCTAGTGTATAAGTTCTCACCAATTAGGGCTCCAATTCTTCAATTCCATCCTTAGGAATAGAATCACCTATTTCAATGATGTTATGGTATTACATCGATGAATACTAACAAACAATTATCATTGAAACATACACAAAGCTTAGATTAATGATCAAATTCAGATTCCCATTCCATAATTAAAGTTTATGGCTTAGCTAAGTTCATAAATCCATCATAATCAATAATATGTAGATTAGAGCTTAGATTCATGAACTAGTAATGAATTAGAGCTAGAGAATCTATAAAAACTCATCAATATTCTAAACTAAATCTCAAATTTGATTTGGAACCAAAACTATAGATTTTATAATGTCCATTTAAAAAAATAATAATAACATAGACTCTTTATAAAACTTGATAAACAACTACTTTCACAAAACTTTATATATAAGATATCATTCTGACAATCGTTCGACGTTATAATATAACCAAAATCTTAAAATTAATTAAGTTTTTCAGCTGAAGTCTTAAAACGTAAAACAACAAAAGAAAACGGTTCGCAAGAAAGTGCAAAGTGTCGTTAATTTAGCTAATTGAAACTTTTTCCATGGTTTCAAAGCAAGTCAAAGCCACAATTACCTTAGTTACGGTGGTTGTAGTTGTAGCCATGGCTATTACCTCTATGGTGATTGTCCAAGTTCATTTTTGGTTGTGAAGGATGATAAACATTCCATTGGGCAGGCTAACACAACCGCGCCAATTTCAAGCTTTTATTGTTCTCGTTAGCGTATCATTGTTTTTATACCTCATAG